ATGGTGACTTTTCTTGCTGTCGGCATCGGTCTCCACGCTTGCGCACTCTGCGGCACCGAGGGGCAAGAGACGGAGGAGACGGAGGAGGAGGAGGAGGAGGAGCAGGAGCAGGAGGAGGAGGAGGAGGAGGAGGGGGAGGAGGAGGAGGAATAGAACTAGGTGGGGAGCAGGAGTGGGAGGAGGAGGAGGAGGCGGAGGAGGAGAATTTGGAAGAGGAGGAGGAGGAAGAGGAGGAGGATGATGAGGAGGAGGAAGAGGTGGAGTAGGAGGAGGAAGGTATATCTCAGTTTTTGTTTTGTTTTCAAGCGCAGCCCTCGGACGGCTTCAGGGGTCTCCGAGGATGACGGCGTACCCTCGTCTCCGAAGATGATCATGTATATAATGTCCGTATCTCACCACTCAAGCCGCTTCGCGATCACCGCCCACCTTGGTCGTACTCGAAGCAGCGTGTGTCTGGCTTCAGGACGAGCTCCACGATGGAGCCGTGAGCAGGAGCCGCCCACGAGCGCCCAAATGTCCAACCACGGCCACACATCATCGGGTGGCCGATCTTCTTCTTCTTCTTCTTCTTATTATTATTATTTTTAGTATTGTTATTATTATTATTATTATTATTATTATTATTATTATTATTATTATTGTTGTTGTTGTTGTTGTTGTTGTTGTTGTTGTTGTTGTTGTTGTTGTTGTTGTTGTTGTTGTTGTTGTTGTTGTTGTTGTTGTTATATTATTATTATTATTATTAAAATTAATCGCTTCGCTCATTCCGCCGGCCCATAATGTCGCACCGTGGTCGCCTGTCCGAGTGGTCGTTTGCAGTGTGGAGCTGCGGCGTCGGGAGCTGTGTAGTGTTGGGGGCGTTCTTGGGGCCCTCTTGGGCCGTCCTGGAGGCCTCTGGGGCCGTCTTGGAGCCGTCTTGGGCCGTCTTGGGGCCCTCGTTGGGGGCCTCTTGGGCCCTCTTGGGGCGATCTTGGAGGCCTCTTGAGCCGTTTAGGGGCGTCGGGGAACCGAAAAGGTTAAAACGCCCAAATCTGTCCAACACCAAAGGAAAAACACAGGTTTTTGCCTCTTGGGGCCCTCTTGGGAGTTCTCTTGGAGGCCTCTTGGGGCATCTTGGAGGCTTCTTGGGCCATCTTGGAGACGTCTTGGGCCGTCCGGAGGCCATCTTGGGCGTCGTGGAGCGATCTTCGGGCGTCTCGGACCTCTCTTGGACCGTGTTGGGGGCGTTCTTGGGGCCCTCTTGGGCCGTCTTGGGGGCCTCTGGGGCCGTCTTGGGGCCGTCGTGGGCCGTCTTGGGGCCCTTTTGAGGGCCTCTTGGGCCCTCTTGGGGCGATCTTGGAGGCCTCTTGAGCCGTTTAGGGGCGTCGGGGAACCGAAAAGGTTGAAACGCCCAAATCTGTCCAAAACCTAAGAAAAAAACATGGATTTTTGCCTCTTGGGGCCCTCTTGGGAGTGCTCGTGGAGGTCTCTTGGGGCATCTTGGAGGCTTGTTGGGTCATCTTGGAGACGTCTTGGGCCGTCTGGAGGCCATCTTGGGCGTCGTGGAGCGATCTTCGGGCGTCTCGGACCTCTCTTGGATTGTGTTTGGGGCCTCTTGGGGCCCTCTTGGGGCGATCCTGGAGGATCTGGGGGGGTGTCCCGGGCTCCGCCCGGGGTACTTCTGATCCAGGGACCCCCAGGGGCCGCCCCGCGCGCGCGAACTAGAAATACTGTTTACCAGTTACCGGAGATCTTAGCACGCCTCTGGCCCGTTGGGCCGGCGAATTTCCTTATTATTTTCTTCGTTTCTTCTTCTTCTTCTTCCTCCTTCTTCTTCTTCTTCTTCTTCGTCCTCCTCCTCTTTCCTCAAGGCTTTTGAAAGCTGCTTGGCCCTCTGTGGGGACCTCGGGCGCCTCGGGATCGGTGGCTGAGACAATGGCGGCGCCCGGCCCAGATCCTCTCAAGATTAGTCCCCTGACCCTCCTAGGGTCCATTCTGACCTGTCTTCTGACGCGGATCCGGCCGTGGCGACAAGAAGCCTCTGGGTGGCAAAGAGAAGATGAAGAACGCCTGGGAGGCGATGAAGTGGAAATGGCACAAACACAAACGCGACGGCGCCAGAGGAGGCGCCGCCAGGGGGGGCCCATCGCCGATCCAAGACACCCGCGCGGACCTCCGATAGTTTATGTTCATGCGGTTTTTCTTTCCTCGAGGGACTCTGAGATCCGACGTTGCGAAAAACATGTAGTTCCGAGAAATGATGACCGGAGCCTTGGATCTCATCTTTCTGCGGCATTTTTCGAGCCGGATCGATCCTGAGGGCCGCTACGAGGGCACGAAGCGATTCGCGATTCTCGCGACTTGCGATTCCTCATCCTCACCCTCCTCGTCTTTCTCTCCTCTCCCAGGGGGGCGGCGAGAGAACGGGAAGGCGTCGGCGCTTCGCGCAGCGCGACGCGCGAGCACAGCTGCCCCTGCTCCAGAGGGGTCAGCTCGTCGACTACGAGGGCGTGGGCGGAGGTGGCGACGCCGCCCCACAGGCCCCCCATTGTTCGTGGCGTCGCCACGCCATGCTATGTCATGGCACGCGCTGATCTTCAACACCGTGCTATGCCATGTCATGCTATGCCCTGCTGCGACATCCGAGTTTGCGGACAGAGGGGAGATCTACGCCATGGTAGGGGATGGGAGGGGTAGGACGTCAGATATGACGCGACCGCACCCAGCTTGTCCTCCTCCTCCCCTCCTCCTGCGCCTCCTCCTCCTGCTCCTGCTCCTGCTCCTCCTCCTGCTCCTCCTCCTCCTCCTCCTGCTCCTGCTCCTGCTCCTCCTCCTGCTCCTCCACCTCCTCTCCTCCGGTTGCCCCCCCCGCCCCCCCCCCCCCCCCATCCCCTCTGTCCCTCCCTGCGCCGCTCGGCGGCAAGATCAGCGAGACGGCCTCCGCGGTCCTCCCCCTGGGCCTGTCCCAGGCAGATCCCCGAGCTCCGGTCCTGGCGTGCCTCCGCGCCTCCCCTCTCTGCTGCGGGGCGCTCCCGCCCGTCTCCCTCCCCGTCCCTCTCCCTCTCGCCCCCCTCCCCCTCCCTCCCTCCTTCCCCTCCCCTCTCTCTGCTTCCTCTCCCCTCTCGCCCCCCTCCCCTTCCCTCCCTCCCTCCGGCTCTTCCTCCCCTCTTCCCCGCCCTTCCCCCCTTCTGCGCAGTGTTCGGTCGGGCCTATCCCTCTACAGCAGGAGAATTCAAAAATAGTCCACAAAGAGTCTGGGAACGATTTTCGACTATTTTTGACTATCTGGGGGTCTGTTTTGAGGGCTTTTTCTTTTCTCGCCCCACATCCGCCCGTAGGAGGACGTGCCCAACCTGAGCGCAGTGGCACGAAGCCTGCTCCCTCGTCGCGCACGCCCTCCTGCAGGTCGCACTGCACGATCAGGGATGAGGAGGACAGAGGAGGGAGGAGGAGGAGGCGGAGGAGGAACGAGAGAGGGGCAGGAGGGAGGTGGGAGGTGAAGAAGGAGGAGGATGAAGAGGAGGACGAGGAGGAGGCAAGAGGGAGGCTCCCTCGTCGCGCACGCCCTCCTGCAGGAGCCGTGCGCCGCCCGTGCAGGGGCCGTCCCTTTGGGCTCGACCGGGTCTCTGCTGCCGCTCCCGCACGTCCCCGATCGAGGCAGGGCGCCTGGGCACCGCTCCCGGATGGGCCGGGGGGGGGCGCGAAGCGTCACCAGCTCGAGAAGGCCCCCAGCGTGCTCGGGGGCCATCGTTGTCGCACTGCTCGCGCACTGCACCCCCCTCCAGCGTCCCTCTGGTGCCCACCAGACGCCAAGGAGGAGGAGGAGGAGGAGGAGGAGGAGGAGGAGGACCAGTGGAAACCCAAGAGTCAATAACGATGTTGGAATTCACCCTCCCTCCAAGCTCCTTCTTCATGGGCGCGGCCCCATACAACGGTTCATTTCCATTGAAGGAATTGCCTCGTTGGAAGACAACAATGTGAAGATCCTGAAGCGTGCCAAAACATTGTTCTCGGGATTTCAACGCCACGTATCAACCTGACTGCCGCGTCTCGACGATCCAGAGTCGTTGCAGAACGCCTTTGTTGGTACTGCAACACAGCGAATCAACATAACTGTTGCGCCCGCATAGTCCGGAATCCGTCCAAAACACCATTTCTGGTACGTTGATCATGGAAACCCGTGAAACTCTTGCAAATTTGTAAAACGAATGTGCACGGCGCTAAGGAAAAAACCACATTTTGAAAATGAACCGCCCTCATTACGTGAACATTTTGCCACATTTTGAAAAGGACCCGCCCTTAATCCGTGGAACTGTTGCAATTGTTTAAAACGAATGTGCGCGGCGCTAAGGCGAGAGCCACATTTTGAAAACCACCCACCCTCCATCTGTGAAGCTGTTGTCACTTTTTTCAACTTCAGAGTCATAGAATGTGAGGAAGTCTCAGGCGAAACGCCCGGCCCGCCCTAGAAACTGGTCTCGGGGTGCGACAGGGAGGAGTTTCTCTAAGCAGAAGGAATGGAGGAGGAGGAGCAGGAGGAGCAGGAGGAGAAGCAGGAGCAGGAGGGGGAGGAGAGGCAGGAGGGGGGAAGGAGGAGGAGGAGGAGGAAGAGAAGGAGGGGGGATGATGATGATGATGATGATGATGATGATGATGATGATGATGATGATGATGATGATGATGATGATGATGATGATGATGCTGATTCTGATGATGATGATGATCATGATGCTGCTGATGCTGATGCTGATGCTGATGCAGATGATGATGGTGATGATGATGATTATGATGATAATGACGATGATGATGGTGATGATGATGTTGATGATGATGATGCTGATGATGATGCTGATGATGGTGCTGCTGCTGCTGCTGATGATGATAACGATGCCGATGATGATGATGATGATGATGATGATGATGATGATGATGACGATGATGATGATGATGATGATGATGATGATGATGCTGATGCTGATGCTGATGATGGTGATGATGATGATGATGCTGCTGCTGCTGATGATGATGATGATTGCTGATGATGATGATGATGATGATGATGATGATGATGATGATGATGATGATGAT